AAAGTTGCTCAGTTGTGGCCAACTCTTCGTGACCCCATGGACTATACAGTCCACGGAGTTCTTCAGGCCAGAATACTGGAGTGGGGAGCCTTTTCCTTCTCCAGGGGATCTTCCCAAATCAGGGATCAAAGCCAGGTCTTTCACATTGCAGGTGGATACTTTACCAGCTGAGCCACAGGGGAAGCCCAATGTGTTTGTAAACCAACAATAAAAGAAGAAACTATTTACAACTCATGTTGTTGCTAAGGTTAACTCCTTAATATACGAAGAGCTCTTAGAAATCAATAAGAAAAGACCATCCATAACCTCCCAAACAGGAAATGAACAAGACACACCACAGGACATGGAGCCATGGCAGTGTGCAGTTTCACAGGCGACAAGCGCACGGAGGGTCCATGTCCCACCGTGATATCACTGTGAACTGGGAAGCTCAATAACCAGCGTGTCCGAATGGCTGTGGAGAAGCAGAGCTTGCACACGTTTAAACTGGCCAGTGTGGGCATCTCTCCCCAGACTATATGCAGTGGATGTTGCATGAGCTATGACATTCCTGGGAATCCCCCAGAACAGTGATCCAAGGACAAGCTCCAGGCTGAGCTGCTGTTTTTAACAGTGAAAGGCGGAAGGCACGAGGAGGGGGAGTAAACAGTGACTCATCTCCACAATGCAGCCCCACGTGGCCGTCACCAGCAGAAAGAGCGGTGCCAGCCTTGTGGGGGTCTCGGGGAGCACGAGCTCCCCCCAGGAACCCAGCGTGCCTCAGGTCTGAGGCCACAGGGTCAGAGACACAGGACGGGAATGGAGTGTCCCTTCCAGGGCCATGTGTGGTGAGCCGGGTGGGCCCGGACACTGTGTGCTGGGGTGCTGGGCTGGTCACAGGGGCCTGAGGGCCTCCACTGGGCGCCGGCCCGGTCCAGGGGACCAGATGGTTCTCTTTACGGGGGAGCACTGGCGGCCGGGGCAGAGAGCCTGGAAGAGCCTGCAGCTGGCCCTGCTCGCCGCGCTTCCCCCTGATGTTGTTTTTTGTTGGAAAATCACTTCTGCGAATCCAGCTGGGACTGGGCCCAGAGCAGCTGGGGGCGGTCCGGCTGGCGCTGAGGCAAACGCAGGCCCCAGACCTCTCTGGGCCCAGGCGGGAGGGGGCTGGCCAGGTGGAGACTCAGAGGCTGCAGGGAGAGAGCCTACCCCTGCCCGCTGTCCTGCTCAGGCCACCCCAGACCGCTGTCCCCCCAGCGCCGTGCCCAGGGCCCAGGAAGTCCACAGATCCTGGCTATGGGCCCCAGGTTGAGGGAAGAGGGCTGAGGCAGCCACCCTGTGCTCCTGAAGGGACCACAGTGGGGGCGGCTTGATGGAGGGGAGGCCGGGGTCCGCTTGGCACTGAGGATTGCAGGACCATCGTTGGGTGTGCCTGGCCCTCGGCTGTCCCAGCCTCTCCGAGGCTGAACCCGCCATGAGGGCATGTGCAGCCAGCCAGGTTCCCCCTTGAGCTCTGCGCCTGTGCGGTCCTGTCGTCGGAGAGGCTGCTCTGTTCACACTCCGGGCACAGACCAGCCGTCCTGCTCCACGCACTGGCGTCCCTGTCACGGCTCAAGTTTCCCCAAACAAGGTCACACGAGTGCACACGCATGCACACGTGCACCAGCTCTCTCCGGCTTCCCTTCCATTTGGCCCCCGTCTGTCTCTGTTGCTATGTCTGCTTTTTGACGAGCCTCAAAGTAGTGTAGTCCCAAGTTCGCAGACCCCCGTGAGTCCATATGCATTTGGAGATAAGAATTTACTGACGGTAAACAGCTGGCGTTCTGGCTGAGCTGCCCTGAACTTCCGTTCCTGCTGGGGAACGCACTGGGGATGTCGGTGTTAAGCCCCAGCCCCACCTGCCCACGAGACCGGGAGGGTATGTCAGACACACAAGGGTTGACAAAATCAGGTCCCCGGAGCCCATTCTCAGGAGCTACTTCAGCACGTGGATTGTGAACACCCAAGAGGAGGAAGTCGTGGGGGTGGGAACTGGGCGGCCAGCGCAGAGGTCCCGAGCCAACGTGAGCTTCCGGTCTGAGGAAACGCCGCCGTCACTGATTCACTAACCCTCACGCTCTGGCCACTGGGCGGGCCTCCTGAAACTCACAATTGTGCAAAGGAAGTTAAACCAAGAAAAGCTTGAAGTAAAATACAAGGTTTCAGCTCTGACAGGGGATGAGATCAGAAGTCCTCAGCCCTGCTCTGACAGCAAAGAGAAATCAACAGGGTCTCCTGGATGCAGAACCAAGGTCAGGGGGCCACGCAACCCCCGCCGTCTCGGGGAGGGCTGACGGCCGCATCCAGCTGCAGACCGGGCGGGATGTCCAGGGGCTGTGGGGCTTGCTGGGGGCCAGGTGGGCAGGCCAGCGGCCGGCTCTGGGAAACAGGCCTTGCTGCCCACGGTCACTGGGACCCAGCTGACACGCGCGCACGGAGCTCTGTGCACACACCCGGGGTCCCGCTCCGCTGCTGGGCCAGGCCCGCAGAGGCCAGCCCAGGGCAGGGCTGACGGACAGCACGGCCCCGTCCTGATCACTGTAAAGCTGCTGCCGAGTCCCTGGACCTGTGTGCCAGCCCCGTGTGTCTCAGTTCTGTGGTGACACCGGGTCGGGGGGGTGATCACTGGGTCTGGTGCGGGGGATGCTGGGTGGTTCTGCACACGGCTCCCGGCAAGCGATGCCCACCCCAACCCCTGCACAGCTTGGCGGGAACATCGCTGGGCCAGGGTCGGAGGGTCCACGGAGACTCGGGGTTCAGGACCTCCCTTCAACACTGTCCTCAGTGGGTTAGAGGGGCAGCATTTGTAAACAAGCTCCCATGCTCAGCACAGCCCCCTGAAAGCGTCAGGCCAGGGCCCCGCCGGGCCCACGGCAGCTGCGGCTCCACGACCGGGGAGTGAGGCCTGGGCCTGAGGGTCCAGGCACCCACCTCACACGGTCACCCCCAAACCCATGGAGGGTCCTGAGGTCACCTGGTCTCCACAGGGCCCACCCGTTACCTGGGGGAGACCGGGGGGCTGGTCCCCATATGCAGCCTATATACCACCCGGGCTCATGGCGTAGGATTCACCCCACGTTTGCTCAGGGTATGGAGGTCACCCCGCGTTTGCTCAGGGTATGGGGGTCACCCCGCGTTTGCTCAGGGTATGGGGGTCACCCCGCGTTTGCTCAGGGTATGGGGTCACCCCACGTTTGCTCAGGGTATGGGGTCACCCCGCGTTTGCTCAGGGTATGGGGGTCACCCCGCGTTTGCTCAGGTTATGGGGGTCACCCCGCGTTTGCTCAGGGTATGGGGTCACCCTGCGTTTGCTCAGGGTATGGGGTCACCCCACGTTTGCTCAGGGTATGGGGGTCACCCACTTGGCTCACTCAAGATGAGGCTGGATTGTCTTTTTTCCTCTAAGGATTTGGAACGTTAATCTCAAAATAATTGGAAAGTGCACCTCCTTTTTGTTCTCTCAAGTCAATTGGAAATCAATGTTTTTTTTCTACTTTTTTAAGTATTTTTTAAAACTAAGGGTTGAAGCCATTTTTAATTTTCTTTGAGAAAGTTTTTTAAGTTTAATTTCTTCGAAAGTTATAGAGCAATTCAGATCTTTTACTTTGTGTTGGTTTAGCAAGTGTTCTCTCTTAAATTCGCATCAGAAAGATTTCATCACATTCTCTGTGATTTGACTGACATTGGGAACTGCTCAGCAACCTCCTCTTGAGTCCTGATCCTAACTGTAGCTGTCTTATTCTCTTCCTTTATCTGAAGGTAACAATTTTACTAATTTAAAGAACCAACAGTTGAATTGCTTGATACTGTGTTTGTATTCTATTTGATTAATTCCAAATTTATATTTATTTTGTACACCCACCTATGACTTAAAACTTTAGCTTTCATAGTTTCCTAGTTAAGATACAAATAAACGTATCTTTATTCCAGCCTTCATATTATTGTCTAAAATTCATACTAAGTTGCTCCATTTTCCCCTAAGCTGCTGCTCCAGCAGCTCGCAGTTACTTCAGGTGCTCCCCGCTTGTGGACCTTGCACCTCCACCACGGCTCAGGACCCCGAGGGTGAGGGGAAGGCACCGAACACAGAGCAGTGAGGACCCCCAGGTTCCAGTAAGGACACAAAGGTCAAGCGGCTCCGAAGCAAAAGGAAGCAGGGCCCAGCATGGGCCACCCCAGAGCTGCCCGTCCAGCTCCGAGGCCACCCCCGCTGGCTGAGAAGAGGACTGACCCCGCCAGTGTCCCCGTGAGACAAAGCCGCTAAAACAGAAGCTAGGCGTGCCGGCTCTTTCTGGGACTTTTATTTCTTTAAAATAATTCATACAAATGGTTACGGTCACAAACATGATTTTAACCAAAATATTGCTAGCCTACCACATCAGCAGGACGGCACCACGGGCCGGGCGCCGCACCCGCGGCCAGACAGAGGCCGCGCGCTCCACCCAGCTGCCTCGCGATGCCGTCTTCGTTGGAAACAAGGGGTTCATGCCAAAGTTAGGAAAGACAGCCTTGGTTCTGTTTTTCTAAATTATTCTAAAAATAAGACAAGCAGGTAGAAAAAACAATGCACTGTGTGGCGTAAAAAGAAAAACGGGAAGGATTCATTGTCCTGAGAAGTTTGCCAACTGCCTGTCTGGGGCGCTCCACACGCAGGAGGAACGGCCGTGAGCAGCGCCACAGCCGCCCCGGCTCTCCTGCCGACAGCTGAGCAAACACACCTGTGATGTTCTAGAGACTGTACACAGACGAGGACATTCGGGGAGAGTGAACTACTAACTTCTGCTGCTGAACGAGGACGCGGAGGACGCGGAGGACTCAGGGCGCGGCCGGCCCTCCGGACGGGACAACTACAGTCGACGCGGGCAGCGGCACCAGCTCAGCCCTGGCGCCCGGCCCGTCTCCGGAGACCCGGCCACCGCAGGCGCCGCGCCACACATGCCCGTCCAGGGCTCGGCCGGCACCCCGGCCGCAGAGCTCCGCCCCGGCTACAACTGGTCGCTGGCGTGGTCTCTATCCGCCTCGGGCTTGACGGTTTGGCCGGGAGAAGGGGCATGGGGAGGATGGGAGACGGGGGGCAGGCCGTGGGATAGGGACATCGCGCTGGGGACGATGCCCTCCACGGCGGCCGGGATGCCGCTGGGCGCCACGCCCACCACGCCCGGGGGGTACCTGCTGGGGGAAGAGGTGGCGCGTGAGCCCGGGGGGGGGGGCGGGGGGCGCCCCGTCCAGCCCCGCCCTGCTCCCTGCGGCCGAGACCCAGGACGGTGCCCCGTCCACCACCCCGAAGGCTGCCTGTCGCTCCGGCGCGCGTGCCCCAGCCACCCACGGCCAGGGGGCCCAGAGCCCCGCTTGCCTGTAGGCTGCCCCATTGAGCTCGGGGTGCACCACGGCGGGGTCCACACTGGCCCAGTGGGTGGCAGCTGCAAGGTGGTCCTTGTTGACGCAGTTCTTCAGGCTGTCGGGGATCCGGCCTGGGAAACGCGGGGAGCGAAGGATGGGGCCTGCGTCCCGCAGCCGCCAGGACCCAGGGGGGCTCTGACGGGGACAGGGCCGCCCCCACAGGCACACGGCCCTCAGGCAGAGTGGGCCCCGCCTGTCAGGTAAGGGTCCCCCTCGAAGCTCATGGACCCCCAGCCTCGGGCGGGCGACCTCAGCTCACTGGTGCCTGCTCAGACCGGACGTTTCAGAGCTGATGGGCCCGCCCAGGACGCTCACACGCACAGCAGACCTCCTCAAAGGTGGGCAGAAAGACACACGAACCCCCAGGACCGCGAAGGAGCACCACAGATGCAACGCCAAGAGCCCCTGCGTTCAGGGTCTGCGGCGCGGGAATGTCAGGTCCTGGTGGCTCTCATCTCCTTCTGCACCCCACCCCCGTGACCCACCCCCACGGCCCCACCCGTGCCCCGCCCCCACGGTCCCGCCCACAGACAGACGTGGCCCCTGCAAGAGCTTGGGGCCACCCCGACTCCCATGTCCCACACCCTGCCGGACGCGGCCCCGACCCGCCCACCTGTGATGGCTCTCCGGATCTCCCTGGCTGCCTCCTCACGCATCTCGATGGAGGCCTGCTCGCTGTACCAGGCCGCATGCGGGGTGCAGATCAGGTTGGGCGCGTCCTTCAAGGGGCCCTGGCTAAAGCTGCACAGAGGTCAGAGGCTAAAGGTCAGAGCCTAATCTTGGCTGAGCCCACCCCCCCTCAATCTGTCAGATCTGCCCAGCCCCTCCCTGACCGCAGTGGGGAGGGTCTCAACTGGGGACACGCCCAGCCCCCTGCAGGTGACTCGAGCTCTCAGACCTGGGCCCCCTGAACACCCCTGCAGGCTCCAGGGGTGAGGACCCCCGGGCCCTAATGCCCGACAGCCTCTCGGCCGGGGCATCTACACACAGCCACCTGGGGCCTGCGGCCTCGGACACTTGGCAGGGGGCCCTGGTCTCAGCCCTCCCCCTCCCCCAGGCGCAGGACCCCGGGCTGTCCTGGCCCGCAAGGCTGAGCTCCCCTCCAGCTGAGACCCGGCTTGGTCCTGGAGGAAGGTCTACCCTAAGCCAACCTCAGGCTGCACAAAGGCAGGGCTGGGAAGCCGTGTGTGGGCATCACCCCACCCCCCACCAGGCCAGACGCAGGCTAGCGCCGGACATGAGCAGGGCAGGCACCACGCCAGGGGCCCCAGGAGCCGGCGGGAGGCACCTGAAGGGCTCCGACTCATGCACGTCCAGGGCCGCGCCGCGGATCCGCCCCTCCTTCAGGGCCTGGGCCAGTGCCTTCTCGTCCACCAGGCCGCCCCGGGCTGTGTTCACCAGGAAGGCCCCTTGTCTCATCTGGGAAGGACAGACGGTGGGCCTGAAGGCACCCCCTCGCTAGTTCTGAGAAGGAGGCTCCCCCTGCCCCAGATGGGGCATTCCTTGTGACCCCGATTTCACCCCAAGGCAGCCCCCCCCCACTTCAAGGGGCTCAGGAGGCCGTCCGTGGGCACAGGGCTCTTCCCTGGCAGGCTCCTGTCTGTCCAGGCCCCACTTAGTTCTCACGGATTGCTTGGCCTGACCAACTCCCTGACCCCCAGAGGCCAGCCCAGCGCGTGGGAATGGTGTCCGGCCTCACCCTCCACAGGGCTGGGGGCCTGGGGCAGACAACAGTCAGGGCCCCACGTGTGCACACAAGAATGTGCACGCACTCCCATGCACACACATGTGCACACACAGAAATATATGTAACCACATGTGCATGCACCTGCATACATGTGTGAAAGTCGCTCAGCTGTGTCTGACTCTTTGTGATCCTGTGGACTATAGAGTCCATAGAATTCTCCAGACCAGAATACTGGAGTAGGTAGCCTTTCCCTTCTCCAGGGGATCTTTCCAACCCAGGAACCAGGGCACCCGCACTACAGGTAGATTCTTTACCAGCTAAGCCACAGGGAAGCCCAACCATATGTGTGTGTGTGTGTATACACGTGTGGACAGACACAAATGCAAAGCGCGACTGCACACACTTAGAAACATGTATACACACACCTCTATACAACCATGTGCACACACGTGGAGGGCCACTGTCATCCAAACTTGCCCACACCCAGGTGTGTGCACTGCATGTGCTCACAGCACAGAGGCTGGTGTACACACTGCCACTTGAAAGGCCCGACCCGGGCGGGGCCACGCAGGGTTAGGCCGGCCCACCCCGTCCCCCCGCGGGCCGCGGAGCAGACCTGCTTGACTGTGAAGTCGTTGATAAGGTGGTGGTTGTGCTCGTTGAGGCCGCAGTGCAGGGTCACACAGTCGCTGTGGAAGAGCAGGTCCTGCAGTGTGCTGACCCGCTGCAGCCCCAGCGCCCGCTCCGTGCCATCCGCCAGGTAGGGGTCGTAGAAGAGCACGTTGAAGCCGAAGGCCTTAGCCCGCAGCGCCACCGCCTGCCCCACGCGCCCTGGGGGGAGAGGGCGTCACCCGGGCTCCTGCTCAGAGGCCAGGCAGCAGGCGCGTGGGGAACGAGGCTTCAGGGAGAAGGGCCGGGGTCTGGGGAGCACAGGAGCCCAGTGGGCCAGCGGACCTGCCACAGGCAGCACCGCGGGGGCTGGAGCAGCCTCTCACTCTGCGGGTGGGCGACGTGGCCAGAAGCCCCTGCTCGGCCACTTCACTGAGGCACCCGGCTCCTCAAACCCAGGGAAGCCCAAAGAGGACTTCCATTTTTATGAACAAACGTGGAAAGTGGAATTCCGCATCTGGCAGCTGCCACTGCACAGCTCCTGGGTCCCTGGGAGCCGCACGCAGCGTCTCGGGTGGAGCCACCACGGCTGTGACCCTGGCCTCTGCAAGTGACACGGGTACCAGAGACCCCTGCTTCAGCACATGCCCCCGGGGCCACCGCTCTGCTTTCAAGCCGAGGGAACCGGAAAACAGGCTCTGGGGTTCCCGAGAGGGGCGCAGGGAGGGCAGGAGCAGACAGCCAGGGCCGCGGCCCCCAGGGCAGCTCTGACGGCCTCCAAGGACGACCGGGAGCCTGTGAGGATGCGGCCTCCAGGGCCTGACCACCCCACGGTGTCTGCACCAACAGTGCCTAGACGGGATGTGGCCCCAAACCCACTGGCCAGGGACACCCATCCGCCCCACCCTCCCGGCACCCCTTCCTCCTCCTCCACCAATCCCGCCGAGCGGACCCACTGGTCCCACCCTGGCTGGTTCCAGGCACAGGGGCCCCGTTGCTGGGTGCAGGGCGCTCGCGTAGCTATGGGTCTCTGACCAGCCCTGGTGTCTGTGTGAGCAGTCCAGCAAGACAGCAGGTCACATCAGGAGTGGGGCATCCCCACGTCCTCAGACTTCATGGACCTGACCTGAGCTAACGCAGGTGCGTCTCTGCCCTGCAGCTCCCCGCGGCGGCACAGGCGGGGCCTCTGCCGTGGAGAGCCCTGGGGATCACAGATGGGGGCACAGGAGCTATGCCCCCAGGCAGGGCAGGCCACTCTGTCCACACTCGCCCTCCCCCGCTTCCCCAACCCCGGAGGCCCGCCCCACCCCAGCACCTCTCTGCTCCCTGGTTTGCTACCTGAGCCCAGGGCGCCAGCCTGCAGGGCACGAGAGCCAGCGAGGGAGACAACGAGCAGCCTCCCTCCACCCCGGGCAGGACTCAAGGCAGCCGCCTCGCCCCCACCTGACAGCCCTGAGCTTTTGCACGACCCCGCCCACAGGGCACGCAGCACCCGGCCCAGAGCACTGTGACCCTGGCCACAGGGCACGTGTGACCCTAAGGGCACTTAACACCCGGGTGGGCGTGTGGCCCCACCTGCTGTTCCTGGGGCAGCTAAGAGACCCGGCCACCCAGTGCTGCTTCCTGCCTGGACAGACGCCCCAGGTGGGGGACCCGCCAACAGCCCAGCCAGCCTCTCGGTGCACAGGCCCCTGCGGGGCGGAGGCCAGCGCACCTAGTCCGATGACGCCCAGGGTCTCCCCGCGGATCCTGGCGGCTCCGGAGGCCACCTCCCGGATCTGCTCGACGCTCTGGACGCGCGTGCCCTCCCGCAGCGCCTGGTGCAGCCACGTGGTCCTGCGGTACAGGTTGAGGATGTGGCACATGGTGGAGTCGGCAGTCTCCTCCACGGACGCGGCCGGCACATTGCAGACGGCGATGCCTGGAGATGCGAGACACACAGGGCCATCACTGGGATGGTCCTAGGCAGCCCCAGGGACATGTCCTGGCCTAGAGGCCAGATCAAGGCAGGTACCTGCCCCTGCCCTGGGGGAAGGCTGCCCGTGGGTCCAACAGGCAGACAAGGTGGGGATGACAGAGGCCGGGGCGTTGGCGGGGGGGGGTTGCCCGCCTGGAGCACAGGCCACTGGACCTTCCTGGAACGGGTCTCTGCCAGGCCACTCCGCCCCAAGCAGCAGCCTCCCCGTCCCTTCAGCACAAGGGAGGACGGGGTGGGGGGTACGTGGGAGACTGAGCAAGAAGAGCTGGAGTCCCCATCAGACTCGGAAGCAAGACGGCCGGCCACCCAACAGACAGGAGGCCCCGCGGGGCTTTGGAGGGGAGGACCACCCAGCACAGCCCAGACGTCCCTGGATGAAGGACAGAGCCCCGGCTGGTGAAATCGAGAGGCACAGAGGCCCAGCTCCGTCAGCAGGAATGAGGCCCAGGGACACGCCAGCTTGGAAAGCACCTGGACTGCTGGGCGACAGTGGGGTGGACACTGCCAGATACAGTGCCTGGATGCTGCGTGGGGACAGGAGATGGAGTGGATGCCACGTGGGGACAGGAGATACTGCGTGGGGTGGACACTGGGGTGACAGAGCTCCGCGGGCACCTGCAGGGTGAACCCTGAGAGGCAAGGCCGCTGACCATGCAAGCAGTTCTCACTCTGCAGGTCTGAGCTGTCAGTGACCAGGTGACGTGGCTGACTGAGTCCTAACCTCCCGCAAGGTGGTGACCAACACAAAGGAAAAGGAGAGACCTGAGCATCACAGCAGGCAGGCTCCCCAACAGAGCCCAAGTAAGTCTGTTTTCACAAGTGTGAGACACACGTGTGCTCAAGGGTGTGTGCACACGAGCACAGGCACCCCCCATATGCACACCAGCGTGTACACACTCCCGTGTGTCCTGAGTCACAACATACACTTCCTTTCCCGGCCTGTCTCATGAACAAGGACATGAGAACCCTGACACAAACGTGTCGGCTGCCCCTGGACGGAGGCCCCTGCCCGGGTCCCCGGGGGTACTGCAGGAGGGCGGGGGCGCTGCCCGAGGCCCGAGCCTCCTGAGGGGCAGTGCCACCAGCCCGCATCTGCCTGAGGGGAGCTGGTACGGGACCCACACGTGGACAGCCGCGTGGATGCCAGCCCCCAGGCCCCCTCCGCGCAGGCAGGTGCTGAGAATCAACGGACAGGACCGAAAGCAGCGAGGCCGTGCCTGGGGCAGCAGGCAGGGCTGTGGGGGAGGGTCCCCAGAGGCCTACCTAGGTCCCCAGCCGACTTGATGTCGATGTTGTCGAAGCCGCTGCCAATGCGCACGATTATCCGCAGGGCCTTGAACTTCTCCAGGTCCTCCCTGGTCAGCGTGATGGTGTGGTACATCAGCGCACCCACGGCCTCATTCAGGACCTGCAGCAAGGGAAGCGTGGTGACTGGCGCTGCCCTGAGCAGCCTGCGCCCCGTGGGCACAGCAGGCTGTCCAGGTGGGAGGCGGTCCGGTCCCCGCGTGAGCCCCTGCCGTGACCGGAGGGTGCCGGCGACCCAGCAGACACGCCAAGGACACCTGCTGGGTCTACAGAGGGGACAGGGCTCTCCTGACTGACAGGGAGGTGGGGAGGGGGCTGCCTCTCCCTGGGCACCGGACGCTGCAACAGATGGAAAACGATGGCACTGGGAGGACCCGAGACCCCCAGCGCCCCCAATGGAAAGCCATGCTGCCACACACGACCTGCTCCCCGAAGAGAGCCACTGCGGGGCCCCCACCCTGGGCAGTGGCCCCCAGTCCCCAGGCAGTGAACACGCAGCAGTGAGCACAGCACCCTTCACGCCGGGAGGGGTCGACGTGGCCACCCCTCGCTGTCACCATACAGGCGCCTCCCCCAGGAAGGGTCGGGGGCGTCGAGGGTGGGCACAGATTTCATGTGCGCTCGGCCAAGAAGCTGGCCCGGCCAGCGCAGACCCCGCGAGGGGCCTGAAAGCTCGGTCTCTGTGCCCTGTGGAGCGTCACCCCATCCAACGGGGCTGAGGATGCTTGCAGGGAGGGCGTGTGCACCTCAGCACGGCCACCCCAGGTGAAACCCATGTAAGCAGGTAGCTGCCAGGGTCTCCTAAGAGCCTGGCGCACAGACCTCCCCACCTGTGGGGTCTGCCCGCAGCTGCAGCCCATGCAAAGCCCCTACCTGCGTGCGTGCACGGCCCCCCCCACCCTGCCGCTGCTGCTAGCACCAGGCCACCAGCGAGACATGCCTGGCTGGGGTTGGGGCCACAGCCCAGAGCCCAGGATGAGGGTCTGCTCCAGATGTGCTCAGAACAGCCAGGGACCCAAGGGCGGGGCCCTGGAGCTGGGCTACTTGGAGCCAACGCATCAGGGACTCCAGGACCTGCCGCAGCTGGGGACCTGGTCTATCCCTCCCTCATGGGCCGGTACAATCCACGTCTCAGAGGCCATGGGAAACCCGTGGGACTGTCAGCCTCCCGCCCCTCTCTGGACCGAGTGTCCTCGCTGGCCCGGGCCCCCCCATGGGGTGGAGGCTGCTGGGCTCCCAGAACTGCACAGGGCTGAGGCAGCAGCTGGCCCATGGCAGATGCAGCTAGTGCGGGGTGCAGGTGCTGAGGGGGGGACCCCAGGCAGGAGCCAGCAGCCTCTCAGACAGGAGACGGCCCTGGGCTCATCTCTCCTACGATCACGGGGCCCCCCAGAATGCAGTTTCCTTGAGGTTGGCTTGGCCTTCCTTCCTGTTCTACTGGCCGATGGGGCCCAGAGGACACCCCCCAGGGGGAGAAAGGTCCAAGGCAGAGACAGCCATCAGCAGGGCAGAGGGCCCAGGGCCTGGTCCTGCAGGGAGCAGACAGGTGCCACCAGACTGGCTCAGGCCCTCCCTGCTCAAAGGACCCAGGGATCCCAGCCCCGGGACACAAATGGGCCGATGGGACCATGCCGAGTCCTGACAGCTGCCCCAGCCTCCTAGGAGGGGGTCAGATGCAGGCCTGGTGAGCACGGCATGGGGCAGTGGGCGGGCATCAGAGGCAGAATGGTTGTGGGAGCACGTGGGGTGGGCAGGGGCATGGGGTAGGGCATGCGGCCGGGGCGGGATGGATGGCGAGGGGGCAGGCTCAGCCGGCAGGTCCCTGGGAAGGCCCCTCCGGACGCCCTGTGCCGTGTGGCCAGCCTGTGAGGAGGCCCCCAGAGCTGGGGGCGGGCTGTGTGTGGACAGAGCTCAGTGCCCACTGTGGGTGGGTGGATGCTGGAACCAGAGAGGCAGACACATGGCTGACAGCGTCAGAAGGGGAGGCCCGCGTGAAGCCTGGTCTGGCCTGGACAGCGGGATGCGTGTGGCCCACAGCTGAGACAGGGGTGTGTGTTGGGGGGCGGGCTGAGGCAGGCGGGGTGGGAAGGGGCCCTTGAGCGTCCTGGGCTGCGAGGCAGCAGGCATGGTCCGGGGCTGTCTGGAAGGTTCTAAAGTTGGGAGATCGTGTAGCTCCCCATGTGTCCACTGGTCTCCCTGAGGTGACGGGTGGCTCCCTGCAAACCTCTTCGAGCTCTGGTCCTGCTGTTACTGCCCCGGGCACGTCCGCCCATCAGCACCACCCACCCAGCACCTGGAGATCCCAACATCACGTGTGCTGCATGAGGCACACGCCGGTGGGCACCGTGATTTTAGCTTTAACTTTAGACAGCATATTAAAAAGCAGACATTAGTTTGCCGACAAAGGTGCATCTAGTCAAGGCTGTGGTTTTCCCAGTAGTCATGTATGGATGTGAGAGTTGGACTATAAAGAAAGCTGAGTGCAGAAGTGATGCTTTTGAACTGTGGTGTTGGAGAAGACTCTTGAGAGTTCCTTGGACTGCAAGGGGATACAACCAGGCAATCCTAAAGGAAATCAGTCCTGGGTGTTCACTGGAAGGACTGATGTTGAAGCTGAAGCTCCAATACTTTGGCCACCTGATGCGAAGAGCTGACTCATTTGAAAAGCCCCTGATGCTGGGAAAGATTGAAGGTGGGAGGAGAAGGGGACGACAGAGGATGAGATGGTTGAATGGCATCACCGACTCAATGGACATGGGCTTGGGTAGACTCTGGGACTTGGTGATGGACAGGGAGGCCTGGCGTGCTGCAGTCCATGTGGTCACAAAGAGTCGGACAGGACTGAGCGACTGAACTGAACTGAACTTCTGGTATGGCTCACCCACATACGGTTCTGGGTTATCCCTTTTTCCACGCCTGGTCATTTTTCTACCAAGCATCCCTGGAACCAGTCCTAAGTGCAGCATTCTCAGAAGGGAGCCCAGACGCCTCCCAGGGTAGCCCCACAGTGCACCAACCTCAGGGTGAGCCCACCCCAGGGCCACTGCACCCCATCCAGGCCCTGGGCCCCACTCCTGTTGGTTCCTTGTGACCCTTTTCCTGGTTGCAAAGTGGCCACAACACTCCTGGTATGCCCTTGAGCTCCCAGGGTCCACTCCCACCAACCTCCACCTGCTGTGTGAGCAGCTCGTCACCAACTCGATGTTGTCAAACCCACGGGGCTGACAGGCCTGCCTGGCCGGGCACTGGGAGCAGCGGGGCCCCAAGGACGCTCACCGGGCACCAGCCCAGAAGTGGGCCAAGGCGTGGCTGGGGGCTAGGCATCTCCTCACCTCGAGGCTCTGCTCCTAGCGTCTCACACGCACACACGTGTGGACACGCACACATATGGACACCTGCCCACACACACACACACACACACACACACACAGATGCATGCAGACACCTGCCCACAGAAACACGTGCATACACACGTGTATACACAGATGCACGCACACACATATGGACACCTGCATGCAGAAACACATGCACGCACGCAGAGACACACACAATGTACACACGCACACATACGGACACCTGCACACACACGGACGCCTGCACACACACACACAGATGCACGCAGACACACGTACAGACACCTGCCCACAGAAACACATGCATACACACGTGTACACATACGGACAGCTGCACACACAGACGCGTGCACATAAAGACACATGCACAGAGACATGCACGCACACACGTGTGTGTGCACAAACCCTCAGTGAGGCTCAGGGCTGACTCCCAGAGAGCCCCAGGGGTTTCCGGATGACAGTCCAGGTGGAAGGACAGTGGGCTGAAGACTGCAGCCCAGATTCTCGGGGGCCTGCCGGAGCACCACCAGACGAGCACGAGGGGAGCTGCCCCGGTGTCCGTGGGCCCCCAGGGTGGGGACGGGCCACCTGCTCCTGCAGGCTGCTGGGCTCTGTCCACACCGCTCTGCTGCCTGCTCTCCGCCGGGACTGTCTCGCTCCTGCCCACCGAGGGGTCTGTTTGCTGCTAGTCCCACAGTGTGCGCTGCGGCATCCCTCCGTCACCCCCCTTTCTTCCCTGTTCTGTGTGATTTCTTTTGTGGGGAGAGTGCTGGACTGCCTCACAGCCAGACGGCCCCTGCTCTCCACGCGTGACCTGCAGAGCGGCCGCACTTGGCTTTGGCCGGGGTGGGCAGGGGCCGGCCCCTGCGGACGCGCCTCTCACTCCCGCGTGTGGTGCGTGCACGGGGCCTGACCAGCGTCCCGCAGGTCCCCTCAGCGGGCCCCCACCGGCACACCTTGCTCTGAGTTTCCCTGCACCGTAAGTGCTGCCCCACCCGGCCTCGGCACGTCCGTGCTGGGACTCCGCTGACCAGGTCCCCACTGGAGCCCTGTGACCCTCCCCTGAGCGTGCCTGTCTTTCCCAGCTGGCCCAGCCCTCAACGGGACCTGAGGCCTCTCTCTTCCACAGCCACCTCCACCTCATGGGGGCCTGACTTTCCCCTAAGAGCTTCAGAGGGAGCAGCCGAGGGGCGAGACGCCCCTTTAGGGTGTGTGTGCCAGGGAGGGGGGAGCAATCCCAGCTGAAACCCTTCTCCCAGGATCAGCACACCCGCCTGGGGCCACTTTGGTTCTCGTCCCCCACCCTGGCACTGGTGAAGCCTGGACCCTGAACCGGGGCCTCTGGGGGCCCCTGACACTTGTCCTGGGCTCATGGTGGGAACATGGGAGCCTCCATGCAGCTCTGAAGTTTCTCTCACGTTGTGGTGAAAATGTCCGGCATCCAACCAGCTATGAAGATAAGCTGGTGTTTCCCCAGTGCCTGCAGCCAGGTGGGCTAGGGACCCCACCAGCTCCATAGCCATCAGGGTCCTGGGCTTCTGTATTGCCGCCCCGCTGTTCCCAGGCTCCCCGTAGCTTCCCCTCAAGGTCTGGGTGGCTGCCCAGGCTCCAGCCGGCACATCTGGTCGCTGCTGGGCTGTGCTCAACTCTGCGGCCCCTGCATTGTAGCCCGCCAGGCTCCTCTGTCCACGGGACCTCGCAGACGAGCACTGGAGTGGGTGGCCGCTCCTTTCTCCAGGGGATCTTCCCGACCCAGGCATCAGACCAGCATCACCCGCGGCTGTGTTGGCAGGTGCACGCAGCGCCATTGTGCCACCCAGGCCGGCAGGGAGAGGAATGGCGGCTCTGCACATGCAGGCTGCAGTGCCCCCGGAAGGACTGGGGCACCCAGGCACCCCTGGCTCAAAGTGGGGGGCAGAAACGGGAGCCCCCGAGGGGGGCTGCACAGGGCCTGGCGCCCCAGGGAGTCTGCGTCTCTCCATGTTCCCCATGGCTTCCACCTTCCCTCTGGGCTTCCCAGAACGTCTTCCAAGCTTCCTGCTAAAATGTAAATCTTTCACTCCCGTATTTAGTTTCCAAGCGCTCCTCTGGCTCTCCTGGGGCTCGCTCTCGCCGCATCCCGCGGGGTAGTCAGGCGTCCCTCTGGCCTGAGGGCACGTCACATGGCCCTAACATCTCTTCCATCTGAAGCAGAAGGTTCCGTTCCCCGGACACTTCTTCCGCCTCTTCTCGGACAGGCGAGACCTCGGCGTGGCTCCCGTGGGTTTCAGGATGTAGAGGGCCGGTTGGCGGGGGCTGCCGCCTGCCTGGAGGGGCTGGGGGGTGGGCAGAGCTCACTGCGGAGCGGAGGGCCCTGCCCCTGCCTAGGGGCCTACTGAGGAGCTTATATGGGTTTTATAGTAACTGGTTGAAATAGTTTTGGTAACTTACAATTTTAGAAGACACGTTTTGTCTTAGGTTTCCAATTCATTGGCAAAACTTGTTTTAACATTGCTCAGTTTTTAGGTTTGATGGGGTGATTCACTCTTGGCTGTGCTGGGTCTATGCAGCTGTGTGCGGGCTCTCTCTGGTGGAAGCCAACAGGCTGCTCTCTGGGAGTGGTGCGCGGGCTCCTGCGCATGTGGAACCTTCCCGAACCAGGGGCTGAGCCTGTGTCCCCCGTATTGGCAGGCAGATCTTAACCACTGGACCACCAGGGAAGAGCTGCTTATGATTTTTTAAAACTTCTACCTGTATTATCTCTTTTTTATCTCTATTGGTTTTTCTAAACATATCTTTTCAGTGTGAAACAGCGTAAGACTCACAGGAAGCTGCCCACGGGTCACTTTCTATCGGAGGAGCCGCTGCCTCCACGCAGAACTACCGTCGCCACAGAGAGAACACCCTCCCATCAGCACGTGAACCCGGCACCTCGGCCTCCCAGTCACGGAGACGGCCAGGCTGAGGACCAGCCGCCCCTGCTGGCCGAGGCCAGTGCCCTGCTCCCTCTTCCTTCTCCTGGCCGAGTGGGCACCGCGGGCCGGGGGCCCGGGGCTGAAGGCAGCCCGGCTCCCTCTGGTTCCAGCCACGAGGCACAAAGCCAGCCACTGGGGGCTCTCGGACGGGTCCGTGTGGACATGGGGCTTGCTTCTCGAGGAGACAGACCGGCTGTGGGCCCGCCGGCCAGGCGGCCCGGGCCTGCTCTGCTCGGGGGCCCACCCACCCGAGCTCCAGGGGCCACCGCCCCCTCTCACGTGACATCCGCCGCCCTGTCAGCTCTGCTCCTGGCCCGTCTCCGCCCTGGGTCCCTGAGGTTCCCTCGGGAAGCTGGCTCCTGCCTCGGGCCCTCACCCGGAGCCCCTGCCCACCGCCGGCCGCCTTCCCACCCACCGCTGCCCAGGTGGCCGGCAAGTCTGCTGTCTCTCACATCAGCACTGCTGTTGCAGCTCTAGGCCTTCCCCACACCCCTTCTGCTCTGGGGCCCTCCTGGCGGCTCAGGCTCGGTCCCCACATCGTGGTTGTGGCAGCAACCGCCACACCGGCCTCATGGGGCCCCCACCCTGCCTCCGTCTCTGCGTTCACTCAGGTTTGTTTTAATTCTCTCAGTTGTGTCTGGTTCTTTGCAACCCTATGGACTGCAGCCTCCGTCCATGGGACTCTCCAGGCAAGAACACTGGAGTGGGTTGCCATTCCCTTCTCCAGGGGATCTTCCTGACCCAGGGATTAAACCCATGTCTCTTAACACCTCCTGCACTGGCAGACGGACTCTTTACTATTAATGCCATCTGGGAAGACCAAAAAGTGAAAATGAAAGTGTTAGTCGCTCAGTTGTGTCTGACTCTGCGGCCCCATGAACTGTAGCGCACCAGGCTCCTCTGTCCATGGGATTCTCCAGGCAAGAATGTTGAAGTGGGTTGCCGTTCCCTTCTCCAGGGCATCTTCCTGACCCAGGGATCAACCCTGGGCCTCCTGCGTTGCGGGCGGATGCTTTACTGTCTGAGCCGGATGCCCTCGCTCAGTTCTTTCCTCCCCTGCGGCCCAGTTATCTTCGTCTGTGTGTGCTGGGCGTCGCGCTAGCCCGTGATCTGCTGATGACCTGGGGCCCAGGCTGATGGCCTCTCCCCACAGAGAACCATCCTCTTCCTCCTGCCAGCCTCCCAGGCACAGGGCGGGGGCTCTATCACCCACGTTCAAGGCTTGCTGTGGGTGGTCCAGGCCAGATGTGGACACATGAGGGCAGGTCTGGTTCCAGCACAGCCTTTCTCCAGCAGCCCAGCCCAGAGCCGGGATCCAGCAGGGCTCCATGTTCGCTGGCCCATGAGGTGCCAACGCCACCCAGCCTCTCAGCCACCACTTGCAGCCCGACAGGTGTCCGTCCCGGCGGGCGCAGGCCGAGCGCCGCCTTTTCTCCCGCAGCAGCTGGGCCTCTCCCAGCCCTGTGGGCTCCCAGCTTCCCCAGCTGACTCGGGGGAGAGGCGGCTCTGAAGTCTGGTCGGCTGGGACTGCAGACAGAAACCAGATCAACGTGCTCCCGTCCCGGGGAGCCTGGAGCTTCCAGGACTCGACTCGTGAGAGGTGCAACCACACGGCACAGATCACGGCGTCCCGGCGACCACCGCCACTGTCATCAGTGTGGGGGTGGGGGGAAGAGACCCCATCCCCTGCCAGCACCACCCACCGCAGCTGAGCCCCAGGGGCCACTTTCTGGGGAAGAACTGTTTACAATGGAGACGTCCCCACGCCTCCTGACAGGCCGGGAGGTGCCTGCTCCCCGCCCACCTACCCGCCGTACCTTCTCATGGATCTCCTGCGTGGACTGCGCGTCACAAAAGGCCACCGTGGCCACGTCCTTCAGGATGGGCATCTCGACCGTGCAGTCCCGGCCGTCCAGCAGTGCCACCAGGGGCCGGGGGTGCATGGGCCCATTCATGATCGGAGGTCGGACGCCTGCAACGACAGTGCCAGACGCTCAGCTCCCTGCTGGGACCTCAGCCCACCCGCCTCGGACATCATGCAGCCCATCCCGAGGACTTCCAGTTCTGTGCGACCAGCCACTGGAATCTTTGTCAAAACTAAACTAAACGCCAGGGGTGGTTGCTACAGCTCACTGCCACCTGAGGGGCTGCTGACAGCGGTGACGCCCCCACCACCAATCAGGGCCCCAGGGAACAGAGCCCCAGGCCCCCTGCACTCCAGCCAGCGTCAGACACGCAGGCTGGACCGTGGCGTCTCGCGGGCGCGCCTCATGCTTCTCTTTCAGCCCAGGCTGCAGCGTTACTGCCCCGAACCCGAGAGGAACCCAGCCGACTGCAGCCAGGACCACCTCTACCCGCAGGTCTGGATAGCAGAAACAGGAAAGGCAGCAGAACGTCAAGACGCGGGAAAGCAGCCTGAGCGCCTCCCCTCCAGAAACAAGCCCGGGAACAGCTGTCAGAAACTCCCTCCTTCTGCCTGAGGCCCAGGCAGACACGCGAGGCAGCCGCTTCCACGGCCCGTAGGGGACCCCGACCCCACACCCCCAGCAGAGCGCCAGGCCCCTCCGTCTGCGGGGGACACAGTCACCACCGCCCTGGTCTCTCCAGCTCCCCCGGAAAACAGAACGTCTCACTAAGGAGCATCACTCATGACGTATGACACACGCCCACCCACAGCCGCGCTCAGCTTCAACTTCACAAACCCCGACCCAAACAGACCCGAGAACCACGCCCTCGAGTCCAGGGGCCTCTTAGCCAGAAGGTGCTGGCGGAGCCTTGAGTGAACCAGCTGGCAGGGCACGCGGACAGGAGCCCCGCCAGAGAACACCGACCCGGGGGCAGGCGGACGGGAGCCCCGCCAGACACCGACGTGGGGGCAGGCAGACAGGAGCCCCACCAGACGCCGATCGGGGGGCACGCAGATGGGAGCCCCGCCAGAGGACACCGACCCGAGGGCACGCAGACGGGAGCCCCACCAGATACCGATCGGGGGGCACACTGACGGGAGCCCCACCAGACACCGATCGGGGGACACGCGGACGGGAGCCCCACCAGAGGACACTGCCCAGCGGGGCCGGGGTGGCAGTGACCCCCCGGCCACAGCGAGTCTGCGGGGAGGCCCCAAGAAGCCTGCTCCCTCCTGCAGCCTGGCCGGCACCTCCCCCGGGACCCTCACCAGAAGCAAAGCCCAGGGCCATGGTGAGGGCCCCTGGGGTGTCCCTGGCCTGACCCCACGCACTCGGTGACCAGGGGCGGCTCCTCCTCCTTGGGCAGCCTCACATCCCCAAGCCCGAACCAACCTGCCATCTCTCAGTATGGGCACGGCTCCCACGACCATGAATTCAATGGCTCAAAGCGGCTGTCTTCAGAATCCCCTGGCAGAACCGCGGCCTGTCACTGCGTCCTCATCCCACGTCTTTAATTGTCTCGAACCAAAGCGCCTAGGCGCCCGTCCACGGCGACCACCGAAGCCCGCACCGGGTCAAAGTCTGACTAAAAATCAAACACAAGAGACACGTTAAGCACCCCTGAGGCCCAACTGGACCCCTGAGCCCGGTCCCTGCGGCCTCGAACCACGGCGCCAGGCGGCACCTGGCGTGGGAGCAACCGGCCAGCTATGGCCAGGACTCGGAGGCTAGAGGCTCACCCCGAAAGGTCGCATCCACATGCCCGGGACCCCCCCGGACGTCACCCTGTGCATGAGCTGGGAGGGGTGGAGGGTGGACGACTCAGGAAGCAGGTTTGTGGCCAGTTCTAGAAGCTTCTGTCTCATGGGGCCCATCGCTTCCTGGGCCTGGGATGGGGCAAGCAGACTGGGATTCCATGGGGATTGCTGGGGAGAGCCCCCAGGGTGCAGACCCCGACCTGGACACCCCCCTCGCAGCTGGAGGTGGGGGCTCCCCAGGCCAGTGCGCACATTGGCCCCCTTGGGTAGCGTCCTGCGGCTGGGGCTGGATTCAGGCACGGCCTTCCCCAAACAGCTCCAGGGGGCATGGCCAGGCCGTGATGGGGCCTGCACATGGGTCACACGCCATCGGGGACGTGGGCTGAGGATCGGGGATGGGGGTGAGCGTAGACCACCGAGCCCCCGCCCCACTGTCTCAGGGTGGGGCCACTCCCAGCACAGGGCGGACCGTAGGCGCCTGTCCCCCTCACACCAGCCACCAGGAAAGGCCCTTCCTGATCTGGCCCCTCCCAATGAGTCCTGGCCAGCTGGCCAGGCCACGAACCCAGGCCTTCTCACCCTGCCCCAGGCTGTACAGCTCGCCAGCCCCACAGGCTCCAGGCCCCACGGACAGTGACGTCCAGAGGCCCCCCACCCCCACCTCCCATCTGCACACAGCCCTTCCAAAGGCAGGTGACCAGTCACGACCCACACCTTGGGTGTGCCCGAGTCCTTCCTGATCCGGCCCCTCCCAACAAGTCCTGGCCAGCCAGCAAGGCCACGAACCCAGGCCATGGCGCAGGGGCCGCCCACTCTCAACAGCCCCTCCATCCACAGCCTGCTCCCCTCCGGGCCCACCAACTGACGGGCATCCAGCACCCAAGCCGCTCCCATCACCAGCTCCCGTGTGGCCTGGGGGTCACCCCCACATGGCCACGTGGATTGAAGCCCCCCTGCACCTGGGTCCTACGTGCCACCTGCCACATGCCCACAACTGGGGGTCACGATGCCTTGGGCCCAGGTCCCATCCCCGCCTAATGGACGGCAGCCCCAGCGTGAAAGGACTTGGTGCCCTAGGGCCGTGCTACCCAAGCCTGAGACACACGCTGGCTTCCCCTCACATAGAGCAGCCGCGCTCCTCTCTGAAACCACAGAACACGGGAAATCGGTGTTTCCGTGGCGATCCTCCTCTGCCTTAACTTCACTCCGTGAAAACTGTCCTCAATCAGCTGTCAGGTGTCCCCCCAACACCACAGACACGGCCCCGGACAGGACACCACCCCCAAAGAACCACAGCAACCTCACCGCCAGCCACCAGGCCCCCCGGCCCCAGCCTCTCAGGAGGTGCTCAGGGACAGGGACGGGCGGGGGGTGCCCAGCCAGGTGGCAAGCTGACTGCCAGGGACGCTGGCCCCCCTTGGGGTCTCCCAGGCTCAGCAGAGCTGCCTTGGGGCCCCAGCTTCACGCCCAATGATGGTATCATAACCAGGGGCGGGGGGTGTTCTGCCGGCTGCGATGGCCCCCTGCCCCACCCATGCTCCGACAGGCAGGGCCGGAAGAGGGCACTCAGGACACTCAGCCGGCCAGACTGCAGGGGCAGCACGGGGCAGACGTGCGGTCACCTCCGCACGGCCGAGTCGGGCCAGCCTGTATGCTGCCCTCTGCCCGCAGAGACCTGTGTGTGCAGGTGGTGGGACTCCAGGGGGGTTACAGCCAGCCGTCTGCCAGGAGGCTTCCCCCAGCCTCCTCCCTAAACCCCAGAGAAACCAGGAAGCGGGGGGTGCCCAATGGGCCTACATGGTCACTCGTGGGCCCCCAGTCACCTGCATCCCGCCCACCGAGGGCCGGGCTCTGCCCCTCAAGCGCAGCCCCACGCAGTGCTCTTCTGGCCCTGCTGCGGCAGCCAGGACCCTGGGCTCTTGTGCCCACCGCCGGCCCACCCGCCGTGAAAACGGCCTCAAAAGGAAGCCCTGCTGCGCTGAGCAGCCTGAAGGGGCTGGCACGTCCCTCCCCATGGGGCAGGGGTGCCCACCCACTGTGGGCTCGGGCGCCAGTCTGGACAGGTGGAGAGCCCCGGGCAGAGCTCAGGCCCAACGCAGACCGGAGGTGCCCTCCGGCGAGCACTGCAGGTGGACCACGTAAGTCTGCTCCGTGCTGGGCCCAGGACCCTGTGGGCAGGACGGCAGCTTCCAGCGGCCAAGACGGGGATTCGACTGTCCAATTGTGCTGGAAATAATGCAAGACCATGGTCGAGAGAAACTTCCAGGCTAGCGCTGGGCACACTCGTGGGGTGAAAACGCTAAGCCCCACCTAGTTTCCAGAAACAGGCAAACAGCACCCATAAGTGACCTCAGTGCTCAGGATACTGACGGGACAGCCCAACACAAGGCTGCAGGGACAGGCTGGGGGTCGCGATCACGCCCGGGGCAGACCAGCAGTTAGCCTCAGGGCCCCCCAGTCACCCTGCCCTGTGCACCCTGCCAGGCGCCTCCCAGCCTCTGAGGAAATGGCGCCCTTTTAAAGAGGATGGAGGACGCCTGAGGGGAGCAAAGCCAGCAGGCATGGCCCCGTGCGTGGCACCAAGACACGTCCCACACCCCTTGTGGGTGCAGGGCTGTCCTGCTGGGCCCCCAACCCCACCCTGACTGGACAAGTCTCAGGGGCTCCTGCTCTTGGCCCGCCCGTCTCGGGAGAGCCACGGAGGTCTGCGCCCCTCCCCGCCAGGGGGGCAGGGGCAGGAGTGACACCAGGGGAAGGGGTCATGGCCAGAGGTCCCCTACCCTGCAGATTCCAGACTCACCTGCCCCTCACCCTCTCCAGAAACTGGGCCCTGTCTGGAGGTGGGATGCACAGCTGGCTCCTTGCAAAGAAACTCTGGGGACAGAGGTGATGGGGAAGCCCCATGCCCCCGGGTAACTCCAGTGACCGTGGGGAAGGGCCATCTGGGGGGCAGGCGGCTGACAGCCAGGGCACCTGCCAAAGCAGAGGCTCTGTCCCCTCAGTGGCGGGGCAGGCGGGTCACCTCATGACAGTCCCGGGTTCCCAGGTACCCACATGCCGTCCTGGTCAGCCCCAGACCCAGGGCCCTGGGTAAAGAGCCTGGCCCCCTCCCCCGCCCTCCCTGCACCTGCTGACCGTGGAGGTGCTGTGGGCGCTCGGGGTGGGTGTGCCCGGGGGGAGGGGTGGGGGCATGGAGACAGGCACACCTGCTGGAGGCGGAGGGACCGTACCTGCTGAGCCGCAGCCTCCCCACTAGACTTCGTTCTCCTTTTCCTCCCAGTCTCACCACCCCCCCAGCCTCCCTGGTCCGGCTCAGGGATGGACGCGGGTGCCAGCTGATCTTTGGGGCCCTGAGAGCAGGACACAGGCTCTGCAGGGCTGGGCTGCTGGGGGCACTCGGTAAGCACGTGGGGAGGGAGGGACTTCTGATGACCAGCCTGACGCAGGGACTGCACTGGCCCCGCGGCAGAGGACAGAGGACAGGCACGTGGGCGGCGTGGTCACGGGAGCCAGGAGCCGATCCTGGGGAGCAGTGTCCGGCGCGCATGCTTGCATCCAGCGGAACAGTGAGGGGCAGGGGATGCAGCTGCCGGTGAGAAAGGAAGCCCCCCTGAGAGCTAGACATGGCCCTGAGCTCCCCCGGCTCCCACGCAAATGCTGGGAGAGGGTGATGACTGGACCCGCGGGGCCGAGGTGGACGTCCACACCAGCCACTGCCTAGCTCGGGCCCAACAGGACGGAGGGCACTGTTGAAGGCCCAGCAGACAGCCACCTTGACACCCCTGCCAGACCCTGGGACAGGCAGATGGTGCCCTGGAGAGACACCACATAGCAGCAAAAGGGGATGGAGGAATGAAAAGGACCAGACGGGATGGCAGGGGACTCAGGCTGCGACTTTGACAGCCACGCTGAGGTGCGATGCCGACAGCGGGGAGCTGCGTGGGGGACAGACACCCTGCACCATCTCGCACTCACTCCTGCCTGGCTCCACATGCTGGGCGCGTGGCGACCCGCTGGATGGCAACTCTGCCCCGCCCCGCCCCACCCCAGCCACCACGCCCTGAGCCGCATCCTCGGGCACAGTCCCCAGGGTGCGGCTGCTCTAGGAGGGACCAGGGCTGCGGCTGGCAGACTCCAGGGTCACCGGAGTCGCTGAGCGTCCAGACTGATCATAGCACATCCCTGCATCTGCAGGACGCCTAGGGTTCCTGAGAACCCGGCCCTAGGCCTCATCGCTCCCACAGCACCGAGTCAGGGTCACGGGCTGGCTCACACCTCCTGGTGCAGTGTTACCGAGCACTGCAAAGTAAATACACCCACAGCTCACCACGAAACAGCCCCTGCTTCCTCTCCAGCCCCAGGAACTGCCTCCTCAAACTCAAGCTCCAAACTCTGTAGCCACGAACAGAGTCCCTGGTTCCACATCCAGTCTGCCGGCCATCTCCCTGGCCCCGCACCCCCCCACGCTCCACCAGGCCTCCGGCCCGCACACTGTGGCTCCCTGGTCACCGCAGTCCCGTGCCCACACCTCAGCAGCAGGAAATGCGCGCGTCACTGCCCCTGGGACCTCCCCATCCTCCTCTGCGAAGCCAGCCCGTCGGTCAGGACGTGCCCTTCGGCTGACCACCAGCCACAGCTCTGACATACCGAGGCCCCCGGCCCACCCCTGTCACTGTCTGAGAGCCAGCAGCAGCCAGGTCTTCTCCAGCCCACCCCCACCGCCAGCACAGCCGTCTGGGCAGGGGTCTGGCCATACCAACGGGCCAGGTCTGCCTCTGCTGGGTGCTGAGCCCCTGCAGCCAAGGTCAGGGGGCCCCCCGGGCACGCAGGGCTTCACAGCGCCTGCAGCAGGACCACCCGCCAGAGTCAGCCTCGCGCCACAGTGTCCTCTCAACTCCTCAGAAACCGAAAGGTGTACATGTGCCAGATAAAAGCCATGATAAGAGGCATGAGTGTGTCACGAACACTCTTCCTCATGTGAGTTCACCTCTTCCACCATCTTCCCTCGTGCCCACCTGTGTGCATGTGTCCTGCTACCTTCAAGCTGCTAAGGGTCCCAGGAAGAACTTCATCCACATCAAAGAACACGGGGGGGGGGGGGGGGGGGGGGCAGTTCATTGTGATGCAAACTGTGACTCCGAAGGTCACCTTCCTGCCTTCCAGAGAGGCAGTGCTGCACTCCAGAGAGACCCTGAGCCTTGCCCCCTGCCCTCCAGGCCCTAGCACCCTCCACCCGTCCCCTGCCCTGCCCCTCCATCTGACAGGTGGCACCCGCTCAGTCATGTGACCCCACTTCTCATGCTCCATCCCCACTGTACAGCCATGACACAGGAGCACCAGGAGTCCACGACTATGCACCGGTCAGGGGCTCAGCACGGGTTCCCTGAGGGCCAGGCCTGTGCTCTTGCCTGCTGCAACCACTCGCCCAGAGGCTCGGGGATGCTGACCCACAGGGCACGCCAAGCGTCCACACTGCTGGAGACGAACTTTCTCCTGAGTATCTGTCTCTGCATACATACATGTGAGACGGGGTGGGGGGAGGGGGTCCTGGAGAGGGAGAAGGTGCCCCCATGGAATAGGACCTGCAGACCCCACTCTGGACCCCTCATGTGCAGACCCAACTGTCCAGTCATCCAGAGAAGCAGGAGGGCTGGTATCACTCCTCAGGGCGGACTCGGAAGAAAACCAATCCCATCGCACGTCCCGACAGCGAGCCTGTCCTAACCAACCACAGAGAAGATCATCACCGGAAAGGAGGCTGCCCGCCAAGCTCCCGGCTCAGAGGCTGCCCGCCACAGGCCGCCTTCCCGGCAAGCCCAGGGCCGACGGGCCCCTCTGCGGCGGGCAGGAACAGGCCAGAGGGAGCCCTGCCCGGACCCGCGGCTGCTCCTGCGTCCACAGACCTCGCAGCCCGGGGCCCCGTCTTTGGGCTCCCGGGGGCAGGGCGGGGGCACGGGAAGCGGCGGGGGCGGCCCCTCCGCTGCCGACCGGACATGCCCCCACCGTGAGGGGGCCCCGGCCGGGAGAGCTAGGCCTGCTCGGGGGGCGCGACAGGTGGACACGGCCCGGCCCGACGTGGGCGGAGCGCGGCGGCCAGCAAAGCACCACCGCAGGCCGCCCCCCGGTCGCAAGCTCGGGGCGCCGCCCGGGCACGGAGGGTGCCTGCCCCCCACACTTGACAAAGCAAGGTGGGGACAAGGTGAGACGGACGCGGCCACAACCATCGGGTCACGGGCGGACACGGGCCCGGGGCGGGCGTCACCTCCACCGGTGACCGGGCACGGCGCCCCCCGCCGCCTCGTCAAGTCAGACGTTTCAACAGCGGGTCCGCATCGCCCACGGGCGCAGAGCCCCGGACGGCCCGGCCCTAGAGGACGAGGGGCCACCGGCGCGCCCGGCCTCCCTGCGGAACCCCGCTGGCAGGAACCCCGCCAGCCGGGACCACGGGGCGGACAGGCCAACAGGGCCCGCGCCTTGGGCGCGGAGTCTCAGCCGCGACGGTCCTGAGGGCCCCGCACCCCTTTGTGTCACCTGCGCGGGCGGGCGGGGCGGTGGCGCACGCGCACTCGCGCACAGCAGCACGCGCACGCGCACGGCGCCCCTGACTCCAGCCCCGCCCCCCGGACGCCGGCACGCACGCGCACGCAGTAGCACGCGCACGCGCACGGCGGCACCGCCGGGCGGAGCGGCGACCAACTCGTACGCAGCAGCCCGCGCATGCGCACGGCGCCCCCCGCGGCCCCGGCCCCCGGCGCGCGGACGCCGGCGCGCACGCGCACACGCACACAAAAGCCGGCGCCCGCGCCCGCCCCGCCCGCCCCCGCGGCCCCGCCCCGCCCCGCCCCGCCCCCGCGGCCGGAAATGCGCGCGCGCGGCCTTACCGAGCGGCAGGCCCTTGTTGAGCAAGTGCGAGCTGCCCATGGAAAGGCGCGGGCGGCCGCGGGCCCCGACCAGTCCGGCGCGCTCCGCCGCGAGCCCGGCGCGTGGCGCGGCCTGGGCGCCGTCCGCCGCTCCGCCCGCTCGCCTGCGCCCGGGCGCCGCCGTGCCGAGCCGCCGCGCCGCGCCAGCAGCCGCTCCACCGGGCGGGGACAGGGCGCGCGCGCGGGCGGGGCTTCCGGCGCGGCGGCCTCCTGTTTCCAGGCGCGGGCGCCGCGCAGACCACGCGGGCGGCTGCAGGCCGCGCCCGCCCGCCCCGCCCGCCCCCCGGACCCGGCTCCTCGCCCCGCCCCGCCGGCCGCACCTGCCGGCCTCCCCGCGGGCTCCGCGCGCACTCACGCCGCGGCCCCCCCGGCTTGGAGCCCGCTGAGCCCCTCGTGCACCCTCCCTCGTGTTCCCATCCCGCACCCACACGCCGGCCGCCGAGCGAGCGGCGCCTGCGAACCGGGGGATTAAGGGTCCTTTGGGCTCCATGCGGCCACGAGGTCTGGGGAGGCAGCGGCGCCGTCCCCGGAGGGTTCCTCTGAGATAACCGGCCCTTGTGCTTGAGATCCGGGGGCCAAGGAGGGCAGAGGCCTGGGCGGGGCGGCTTCGCCGAGACCGGGGCGGTGGAGGTGGTCCCTGGGAAGCAGCCAGGTGTGTGGCCGAAGTGGATGTAAATCCGACCTCCCCCACCCCCCACCCCCAGCCCCAGCGAGCGACCTGTGCTTCGTTCCAGAACTCCCGAGGGGGCCTGGCACTCGAGGGTCAGCAGGGCTCTCCAGGGTTGGAGGTCGCCAGGCCCCAAGGTCAAGGTGCTCTGGACATGGGCAAGGACCGAGGCTGACCGTGGGAGACCGTGATGCCTAGGGCAGGGGTCTCCTGGCAGTGAGAATGCTGTCAGGTGGCCTTGAGGACGGGCAGTGCCACTGTCTTCAGAGGTAACGGGCACACTGAACAGGGCAGCAGTGGGCTGGTGAACCGCGAGGTGCCAGCCTGAGATCCACTGGCCTCTGCATCCTGGAAATCCACAAGCCAGGGAGAAAGTGTGGGTGGGTTTGATAAACGATAATAGAATTAACTGGGTGTCTATCCACAAAACAGATGCTTTTAAACTCGCACTTGGTACTCACCTGTGAGATTACCTCCGACATTGGATTAATTAGAACATTTAGGGAAAATGAGAAAACAGGATTAAGTGAAATTCAGCAAGTCTCTGAGAGAACTTTCCCGAACACAGACACAAAACCACTCACAAGGGAAAGCCCGGAACCCCAGACCTGAGCACGTGTCTGGCCCACACACCCCTCTCCTTCTCTCAGTTAACAAGGGATCGGGCCCCTGAGGTGACTCCGTCAGCCCTTCCTGTCTGAGACCAAGGTTCTCCTTCCGTCACCAGCCCCCAGCTTGGGGTCACCGGCCCCTCTCCAGCCTAGCAAGCTGCACAGTGAGCATGAGAACAGAAATCAGATTCCACTATGTCCTGCTCAGAACCATGCTGGATTCTCATCACTGGGCTGGTCAGAGAGCCCTGGGGCGACCGCCTGCCTCTCCCCCAGCCTTCCTTCCGTCCCCTGGCCAGGCACTTCTCCCTGCCCGCCCTGTGCTCCATCCTTGTGTCCTCCCGCCTGCCACAGCCTCTGCTGTTTCTGCTGCCTTCCCGTCCCCTGCTTCCCGTGGTCAGTTTCTCCACGCCCCGTGCCTGCTATCAGACTCGGCTTTGTCTGGGCCTTCTTTCCACTGCCCTGAGAGTGCCCTGAGGACAGGGGGTCTGCACCCCCGCCCTTCTGCATTCGAGGTAGGAGACCTCTGGGTGGAGACGTGGGAGGAACTGACCAGCCCTCCGCACGTGCCTTCCCACACGCATTCCCTCCATCCTCAGGACCAGTCCAGGACACCAAGCCACAGGCTGCCACCTCTGATGCGCCAACCCCCTCACCCATCCCCAGCTTCGAGCATGGCCCTAAGGACCCAGAATCACCTGCAGAGAACTGCCTTGCAGACCGAGGCTGGGCTGGTGGGCAGAGGCCTGGAGAAGCTCACCCGTATCCCCACAGTGCAGGGCGGGCCTGGACCTAAGACAGAGCACCCACCCCACCCAGCCAGCTCTGCTGCCGCCTCCTGGTGAAGCCGCCTCCTGGTGAAGCCGCCTCCTGGTGAAGCCGCCTCACAGGAGGACTCACCCCCTGGAAGGAGGGCCCGGGAGGAGCCCCAACCCTTCAGCTGGACCCGCGTGTGTACCCGGAATACGTCCTGGGGCTTCAGCTCTGCCTCTCTAACTGTGCCCCCCCACAGAGGTGGGCCCAGGAAGACTGTAATATGTTGGTTCTTTCAGGAAGAGACCAGACCCCCCCCCCCACCAAGTCACCAAAGGGGTTACCCCTGCAGTCCGGGCTTCTTAATGCTAGAATTTTTCTAATGCCAGAAGTTAATATTTTACTTTTCTCTCTGTGAAAAAGAAAAGTTCCTGTCTCTGAGTCACTCTGAACATTGTTCAGATCTTGCATAATTTCTAAAACAGTGGGCAGCGTGGACACCAGCGATGCACCCCGTGTCCGTCACTGCTGTGGGCCATCCACTCTCCCTGGGCTCTGGTCCCTGCAGGCGCATCGTGGGCACCCCCCAGGGAGGCTGTGTCCCCCTCAGCCCCTGAAAGGCTGCCTCGGACTCAGCTTCTGGCTGAACAGGAGTGGCTCTGGCTGCTCTTGTCGGCATCAGGGCACGCAGGCCGCTCCCCACTTTTACCACCACCGAGGTCAGTGTGCCTGAGGGTCTGCTTGCAGCAGACCTGGAGGCTGATGGGCCGACAGTGGGCTCAGGAGGGTGCAGGTCGAGGGCAGGCAGCAGAAACAGCCGTGCAGAGGGTTGTGGCAGGTGGGAGGAGGGGGCAGGTGTGGCATCTGCGGCAGGGAAGGGGCAGCCCCGCAGGGATCTCGGGAAGGCAGTGCAGAAAAGGAGGCAGGGCATGCCTGGGAAAGGCAGGAGACCGTGGCTCGCAAGGCCAAGACCTGGGTCCGGCTCCTGCTCCTGGATGGGAGGGGCGGTGCACAGGGCAGGGGCCACGCCCGGCCCTCCAGGAGAAGGCCAGAAGAGCGGGAGAGAGAGGCCGGCCACGGCTGCAGGCGGCAAGGCCTGGAGGACTTGGGGCTGGGACCCTGGTGTCGGGAGGCCATCTGCCTCCACCGGGAGCTGGAGGGCCGGCAGGTCAGCAGGGGAGAAACCGCAGCCCCTGGACATGCAGTGGGAGAGGGCAGCAGAGAGCGGAGGCTCCCACAGCCTGAGTGGACTTTGGACTCCTGCAGGAGAGGCCCTTTCACCGTGCTTCCGTGCTGCAGCTCCAGCACCAGGGACCAGGTCCAGCTGAGACGGGCCGCATGTCCCTGAGTTCCGCCCGCGCCCAGGGGTGCATTCCTGACCCCATCCCTCTGTCCCGAGCACCTCTTGCACCGCGGCTCTGGCCCCAAAGCCCTGGGCTCCCCACTCTGTGCCCACAGCTGTGATCACGAGGCCCAGGTGGACCTCATGGTCGTCGTGGACATCCCACGCCCACAGCCTTGAATTCAACTTAAATACTTGCGCCGGCCATGTGTGGGAGCCGCACTCCCTTCCGGGTCACTCCACCCTGGAACCGACCAAGAGGGACGTTGCATCCTCGCTCCCAATGCCTGAGCAACCTCCCGAGGCCAGCGCCGCCCCAGGGCCCATCACTGCACCCCAGGCTTCAGCTGTCTTGGTCCATACTGCCTCAGCATCACCTCGTGGTCCACAGATACAGGGCCTGGAAACTTCAATGAGCTGCTGGAAGGGAGCACCAGGCTGCAAGCCAGACACCAGCCAGGTCAACAAAGCCAGTCTGTAGGTGCACTTGAAGCAGAAACAGACAGATGCTGCAGTACTTGTGATCCAGCCTGAAAAACTCCCCAGAACTTGTGTAACTCCACGAGCCCCGGGGTTTCAGCCGTGAGAGGAGGAAGCTTGTGACACCTCCCATCAGGATGACTGCCGGCTGTGGGGGCCTCCAAGGGGGTGGACGGGGGCGAGGAGGGGGGGGGCTGCAGCCATGGGGTGATGCTCTCCCCTGCCGGACCAGGTCCCGTCTCCTCGATCATAAGGGGGTAAAAATCGGCAGTCTGGCAGGCTGGCTAGTACTCCACGAAACATGGCGTGTTGCCCCAAAGCTGCTTCTAACGCCCTGGTGTGCGAGGTGTGTGGAGGGCCCACCCACAGCAAGCCCCCTGCCCAGCTCCCGGCCCTGAGGAGGCTCTCCTTGAGTGTGGGGATGCCACCTTGGATGGTGAGGGAGAAGGGTTCCTGCTGTGCAGCTCCTCTTGAGAAACGTCCCGTGGGTGAGTTCAGCAAAAACCTGGAACTCATGAGTCATCCGCTAAGTCCGGGCAACAGGGACACTTACAGACAGAACTGTGCCCCGGCCCGCTGGTCACATGCTGTGGTCCCAACCCCTTATACCACCAAGCGGTTTCTTATTTGGAGAGAGGTGAGGTCAGCAAGGTGGGCCCTGACCAGTGTCCTCATAAGAAGAGAGGATGGAGATACCAGACAGACGTCCCAGGAGAAGACACAGTCAGGATATGGGCAGAGATCAGTGAAGCTAAAGGTTTCCAGCACCCCCCAGAGCGAAGGGAGAAGCCGGGACGGACTCTGCTCCTCACGGCTCAGAAGGCACCACCTGCTGCCACCTGGGCCTCAAGAACTGAGCCACCAAATGTCTGTTCTGTAAGCCAGCCAGTCTGCGGTGCTTTGATATGACAACCCTAGAAAGCCAATACAGAGAGGAACGGCGAACGTGCTGAAGAGAAGACCAGAGGGTGATCTTAGAAGTAAAGCAAAGGAGACTTGCAGCTCTGACGTTACCCGTGACGAGGAGCCCCAGACCTGCTGCCGCAGAACTTGCAGAGACGAAACACGGAGCTGACTCATGAGGAAGGCAAACACAAGCAGGGTGCACGCGGACGGACAGTTCCGGAAAGCTGCTGTCAGAACCTCAGGCTGTCAGCCTTGACACCCACGCCGGCCCGCCTGAGACAAGGGCCCTCACGGGGGACGCCCTTGGGAGCAACTCAAAGCAGGCCCGTGGGCCCGGGCTGCTGAGACAAGGGGCTCAGGCCTTGCCGGAGCTGCACGCTCAGTCGCTCAGTCATGTCCCACTGAGTGAGTTGGACTGTTGCAGTTGGACCGTAAAGAGAGCTGAGTGCTGAAGAATTGATGCTTTCGAATTGTGGTACTGGAGAAGACTCTTGAGAGTTCCTTGGACAGCAAGGAGATCAAACCAGTCAATGCTAAAGGAAACTAACACCAAATATTCATTGGAAGGACTGATGCTATAACTGAAGCTCCAATATTTTGGCCATCTGGTGCAAAGAACTGACTCATTGGAAAAGACCCTGATGCTGGGAAAGATTGAGGACAGGAGAAGGGGACAACAGAGGATGAGATGATTGGATGGCATCCTTAACTAAATAGGCATGAGTTTAGGCAAACTCTGGGAGATGGTGAAGGACAGGGAAGCATGGTATGCTGCAGTCCACTGGGTCGCAAAAAGTTGGACATGACTTAGGGACTGAACAAGAGCAATAACAAGCAATAATCATATTAAAATTAAACAGAGAAAATTGGCCATTTAAAAAAAAAATCACTTGTCAGATTGGATAAGGAAAACCAAATCCAGCTATCTCATAACCCTGCTGCTGCTGCTAAGTCACTTCAGTTGCGTCTGATTCTGTGCAACCCCATAGACCACTAGGCTCCTCTGTCCCTGGGATTCTCCAGGCAAGAACACTGGAGTGGGTTGCCATTTCCTTCTCCAATGCAGGAAAGTGAAAGTGAAGCTGCTCAGTCGAGTCCGACTCTTAGCGACCCCACGGACTGCAGCCCACTGGGCTCCTCCGTCCATGATTTTCCAGCCAATCATACTGGAGTGGGGTGCCATTGTCTCATAACCCTAGTTAGCGATTTTCTGTCACTGAGTTTGGATGTAACCTTGTTACACAACAATTGACAACTAATATGAGCTACAGAAGTCATAGTCTGGCGCGATTGAAGAAGAGGTGAGGAAAGAAGGCCTTACTGAACGGTATTAGGGATGAACAGTGAGACAGGCTATAGACAAAACAGAGATTTTAAAATCAAAAGAAGATACTATAACCGACTTTGCCAACAAATTCAAAGCTTAAACCAAATACAGAATATTCTCTTAAAAACTAAACTTATCAAAACTCAGCAAATTCCCTGGTGGTCCAGTGGTTGAAGACTTCATACTTCCAACACAGCGGGTGTTGGTCCCATCCCTGGTTGGGGAGCTGAGATCTTGCAAGCTGTGAGGCCAAAAAAACCCTAAAACAAACAAAGCAAAAAACTCCCTCAAGAAACAATAGAATACCCAAATAACCCAATAACTGCAAAGAAAATGAATTACCAGTTTAAAGATCTACCCCCATCTGAAAGTGCAGATGGCTTAAGGAAAAGTTCTGTCAAATATTTAACAAGGAGGTAATCCAAATCTTACAAGTTTTCAGGTAATTAAGAAGTAGGAAAGCTACTCAAATAATCTTGGGACATCAAACCCAGATGTTACTATGAAAAATTTAAAAATACAGACTAGTCATATTTAGAAACAGAAATATGAAATTATCAAATAAAATATTAACAAATCAAATCTGTCAATATGTATAAAAAATAATTGCACCAAATTAAGTTTATTTCAGGGAAGTAAGAGTGATGTATCATTAGAAAACATATTAACATTTAACACATTAACAATGAGTGAAGAATTTTCATTGAATCATCACAATAAATACAAGAAACACTTATAAAATCTAACAAACATTATTTTTCCATCAAGAGGAAATAGACATAACAGAAAATTCAATCATTTTGAAGTGGACAATTCAGTAGCTTCTAGTACATTTGGTGCTATGCAACCATCACACTATAGAATTCTAGACCATTTTCATCACACCCTAAGGGCCGGCTGTGGCTCAGATCATGAACTCCTTATTGCAGAATTCAGACTTAAGCTGAAGAAAGTAGGGAAAACCACTAGACCATTCAGGTATGACCTAAATCAATTCCCTTATGATTATACAGTGGAAGTGACAAATAGATTCAAAG